GCAGCAGGAGGCCGCCGAGCAGCAGGAAGCCGCCGCGCCAGCCGAAGTGCTCGAGCAGCTGCTGGCCGAGCGGCGACAGCGCCGACAGGAACACGGGGCTGCCCGCCGCCGCCAGCCCGTTGGCCAGGGGCCGCCGCCGCTCGAAGTACAGCCCCAGCATGATGAGCGACGGCTGGAAGTTGAGGGCCAGGCCCAGGCCTGCGGGCGAGGCGGCGCTGTGCCGGGCTCCCCGAGGGCGCCCCCACCCCCAGCCCCCAGCGGGAGGGCGGGGCCAGGCCCCGACGGGGCGGGCCGACCACCTCTCGAGGGGAAACTGAGGACAGGAGGCCTCGCAGCGAGGACTCCCGCCCCCGCCCCCCACCCGCACGGCCAGCCCCATCCGCGCAGGGGAGGCGAGTCGTGGCCGCCCTCACCTGTGAGCACACCGGCCGTCAGGTACAGCTCCAGGAGGCGCGTGGCGAAGGATGCCAGGACCATGCCCGCCGAGGCCAACAGCCCACCCACCAGCATCACCGGGCGACAGCCAAAGCGGGTCACGAGGATGCTGGAGACAGGACCTGTGGGCAGGGCACGGTCAGCGCTCGGGCTGGACTAATCTCTCTCCCGTGGACACTCCAGGCTTGGCACCTGCCAGCCCCCAGAAGATGGCTCGAGGGGATAAGGGCACCCTCGGTTCAGAGAGGGCAGTGTCTGCCCAAGGTCACAGAGCTTGGCTAGGACAGACCAAGGAGGCAGCGCCCTGCGGGGGGACGCAAGGAAGGGACCTGTCTTGGTCCAGAGGCCCCATCCCCAACCCTCCTGAGAACAGGGAACCCAAAGCAGAAGAGGCAGACGCCCCTCGCTTTTTATCTGCACAGCTGACATCGTCCCTTGGGCTGCTCAGGCTCTTTCCACCCCTTACTCCCAACCCCCTGGGCGGCCCCCCAGGTGGTTAGGGCGCCGGGGAGCGGGGGATTTTATTTAGCCCCGTTTCCCCACCTGTACCAGAAGCGGGTGTGGGTCTTTGGCAGGAATGGAGGGGCCCTGCCGGCTGGCCAAACCGGCCCGGTCAGCCACGGGGCTGTGGGCTCCACCTCGCGCCACTGCCCCCTTCCTGCCCCCCTCCTCCCCTGTCTCTGGGGAAGAAAGTGGTTTCCGTGCTCTCCCCGAGGGGCCTGGGGGAGGGACCCGCGAGGGGGCGCTGACCGGTGCCGTAGAGCATGGCGAGCATGATGGAGGACACCCAGGCCGTGTCGCTGTAGCCCGCGCCGAAGTCGCGCATGAGCGCGCGGAAGAAGACGCTCACGGCCTTGGGGAAGCCGTACGCGAAACCGGTGACCACGAAGCAGGCACCCAGCACGGCCCAGCCCCAGCCTCCGTCTGGGGGCCCCGCGCCCCGCCGGGGGCCGCCAGCGCCCATCGCTGCTGCCTCTGCTGGAGGAAGGGGACAAGAGGGAGTAGCGAAGGTCTGCAGCCCCGACAAGAAAGGGGGATGGAGACCCAGCGTGGGAAAACTGAGGCACGGGGCTACCCACGGGAGCCCTGCTCTGGGAACGAGCCCGGAGGGGAAGCCGAGGCAGAGCCGCACCCCAAATCTCCCCTCCTGCAGGGGGCCTGTGAAAGATGAGGGGAGGGTAAAAGTTCCCACCTGAGTCCGGACTTCAGGAAGACGCCCTCCGGGGGACACTCCTTGCTCAGGGACCTAGTGTGGCCGGAGAGGGGGTGCTGGTGAGTGGGAGAGCCGGGCGGGCCAGTGCGTGCCGCGTGTGCGTGGGAGCCGCCGGGGTTCCCAGTGGGCTCCTATGGGGTCTCGGCGCAGGAAAGAGCGCGGGGTGTGGGGCAGAGACGGGCAGCCAGGCGCCTGCTGCAGAATGGGTGGCTTTATTCTGCTCCTGGGCCTTGGCCGTATGTTCCTCGTTTTTTTCAATGATCAGAAATGACTATTGCTATCAGAACATTGGGGAAAAATCAAACAACCCAAGACATGCCGTGATAACATTAGCTTTGGTTGGGGAGCCAAGGGAGCTGAGCTCCAGTTCATCCCAGCTTAGCCATGGATTTGCTGTGACTTGGGCAGGTCCCCTTCCCTCGCTGAGCCTGAGTTTTGCCACCTGTAAGATCGGTGATTGATTACCCGGGGCCAACCAGGGGTCTTGGTGGGGGTTGGTCCGCTCTCTGCTTCCACCGGGACCTTTAAGGGGGCACTAAAGAGACCTTCTGCTCTCCAGACCCCTAGCAGCCCCCCAAACCCTCCACAAGCAGAAAACAGCTCTGAAGTCTCTCACACTCCGGGAGCTCCAGCTGGGGGTTCACACAGCAGCCTCCTTTGCCCCCCAAAACAGAGAGGCGGTGGGCCTCACAGGCAGGGTGGGCCAGCCCACAGCTGGGGCAGGAGCCCCCTTCCCTCCCGCTGCCCCCCGCACCTGGGTCTTCCTCCTGGCACTGGGCGATGCCGGGCCCCCCGGGTGGGGATCTGGGACCCCGACCCTCTCTCACCAGCACCACGTTCTGGCTTTTACTGCCTGTTGTCCCCTCACCACGGCTGCAGCCCCCTGAAGACCAAGACAAGGAAGGGGGTGGTCTTGGCAGCTCTCGCCCCACACTCACCTGAGCCGTCCGGTGGGTTTGGATGTCCAGCCTCACATCTCCTGAGGCCTCCCAGGAGGGGCTGCCTCTCTGGGTCCCCCTGGGAAGTCGGGCCTTATGGGGGCACGCAGCCGAAGACCCCCGGGCTTGCCTGCAGATCAGCTGCTGGCCTGGCTCACCCACGGCTCACTCCCTCAGGCCTCGGGCTTAGAGTGTCCCCCACCCCCAGCCCTCTAAGAGGCTTTTGCTTGGAAAGGGAGAAGGGACAGGGCATTGACCGCAGCGCGGGGCCATGCTGGACCTCACGGTGGGGGGTCCCTGTGTCAGGCCCTCCCAGCAGAGCTAGAGAGATAAGGAAGCCCCTCCACTGGGCAGAGGACACACAGAGCCCCGCTCTGGGGGAGAGGGGGGTCCTAGTGGCGCTGGCGGCGTCACCCTGCCCCGGAGAGACCCCACCAGCCCTACTCACCTCAGTGCCTCGCCTGCCCCCCACCCCCAGGCCACATTCCAGGAGGGGATCCAGGATCAGGCTAATCCAGGTTAGAGAGCCTGGGACTGACAGGGCTGGAGGGGACAGAACAAAGGGTACTGTGTCCCAGGCTGCCGGAGGGTGACTTGCTGGTGGTCCCAGACCTTGGCCACTGCCACCCCTCCCCCTCTGGAGAGCCCCCCCCACGCCCCCACCCCTGCCCACTTCCTGGGAAACCAAGAGCAGCAGAGACTGGGCCAGAGGTGGGTGGATACAGGCCGAGGGCTTCAGGGCAGACCTAAAGATCTGCTTAAAATGAGGGCCGTGAGGGGCTGTGCGGGAGCCAGGCAGTGACCTACAGGACCTCCTGGACCCCCATTGTCCAGCGGGAGGCCTCCAGCCCCAACCCCCGCAACCCTGTCCCCCAAATCAGACACCACCAGTCCTGCGGCTGTGTCCACTTGCTTTATTTCTCACCGTTTACAAAAGTTAAACAGGAGGACATATGCGGGGTGGGGTGGGGGGTGCGCAGGGGCTCCTCCCTGCTGGGGCAGAGAAGGGGAAGGGGGTTGGGGTGCACGAGGCAGGCCCCCAGGGAGAGTCCTGGGGCCCTTGGAGGAAGAAGAAATGGTCCTGTCCCCCAATTCTGCCTGCTTTATTTTGAAGGTCCCAGACCCCAGGCCAGTCCCCTTGGAGCTGCTCAAGCTGCGGGAGGCGCGTTTGGGGCAGGGCAGCCACCCCCAGTATCCGGACCCCGGCTTCGCGGATCCACTGCTGCTGCGGCCGCCGCCAGCTCTGGGCAGCCCCTGGGCAGGTGTGGGGGGACGACCTCAGACACCTCAGCGGATGAGGGGCGCCGAGCGGTCGTTGGTGATGGTGGGACGCAGCTTTACCGTGGCAAAGGGGTTTGTGCCCCTGTGAGGGGAGAGGTCGGGGTGAAAGGGGCCCAGGTCCTCAGCTGGCTCTGGGTCCAGGGGAGGTGGCTGGGCACCTGAGCCAGGGCTCACCCCTACCTCCTGCCCGCACTGGCCACCTCCACTCACCCCTGCTTCATCTCCCCCCACAGCCCTCCTCTGAGCCCCGTCCCCTCCGACCCCCACCCTAGGACTCACCGAGGGAAGAGCTCTGGAGGGTGCTGCTCCCAGGACGTAAGTCTCTGCGGTGGGGGTGGAGGAAGGGCCAGATTTAGGGGGAGAGGGGCACCCCTGCCTCTGCCACTCCCCGTTCCAGGAAGGCAGAGGGCCAGACCAGCGGCCCGGGCAGCGCCAGGCTTCTGGGAAATAAGGCCCGGCGTTCTGAAGCCCAAAATTCTGCGGGTTTCAGACGTGAGAAGCCTCTGGGCCAGAGTACCGTCGCCCAGGCTCCAGCCGCTCTCCCTGCACCCCACTCCTCACCCCGGTCCTGCCCAGCCGGCCCCTGCCCCGGCTCTGACTCAGGATTCTTGTCTTGCCTCTCCTGGGAGGTGGGAAGGACAGGCCTTTTCCAGTGCTCCCAGCAGGACAACAGGGGCTCCAGTCCCTGAGAGGAAGGCTTTCCCCTCCCCAGATTCCGAAGTCCATCCCACACCTCCCCTGCAGATGGGCAAACTGAAGCTGGGGTGCGGAGGCCCCCTGCCAGCCGGCCAGTGGCCAAGCAGGGAGGGTTACCTGGTCTCCAGTCTCCGGGCCCACGGGATGAGCCCAGGGTTGGGGACAGGTTGTGTGTGTGTGTGTAGGGGGGCGCTCACCTTGACATCACTGGCCACCCCCGGGCTGCCCATGCTGCTTTGGCAGCTGTCAGGCAAGGCTGTAGGTGCGGGGCTGGGGGCGCGGCTTGGGCCGCGGCTCGGGGTTCGGGAGCGGAACTGGCCGTCCCAGTACTCTGAGGGTGCTGTAGAGTTGGCCGGCCGCTCCAGGAGGTCATTGAGGCTGTGGCTGCCCCGGAGCGGGTAGGATCTGAGTCCAGAGGAGGGAGGCACGGGAAGGGGGTCAGGCGTCAGGCCCCTACCGCACCGCATCCCAACTTCCGGGCTCCTGAGCGTCCTACAGCCTCCTCCCTTGTACCCAGGCGAAAGGAGGCCACACGGGCTTGAAGGCAGCCCCAAGAGGAGGCAGAGGGATGGACACAATGACTTTCTCATATGGGGGGTCCCCTTCCTCCAGGGGCTGCAGGAGGCTAGGCCCACTCAGGACTGCAACTCACAGATGTCCCCACCCCTGCCCCCCTTCCGACCACCCAGATACCTGGAAGGTAACTCATTCATAGGGCTCATCGGGTTCATGGAGGTCACTGGGCTCAAGGGGCGCCTCACAGGCACCTCCTCCAAAGGCTTCACGTAGGCCTCGGGGAACCAGCCGCTCCTGCGGGGTGCAGGCAGAGGGGCCCATAAGCAAAAGGCCCAACAGCAGTGGCCAAAACCCCGCTCCCGAGAGCAGTTACTGAGCAGTGCTGTGTGCCAGGCGTCGCTCGGAGGGCCTTGCCCAGACTGACTCATTGAATCCCTCAAGGAGATCTTTCTCAACATTCAAGTCCATCCAGCCAGCCTCATGTCCTGCCAGGGGCTGGGTCGCCTTAGGAGGCACAGGAAGTCCAAGCAGGAAAGCTATGTGTCCAAGGACATGTGGTGACCCGCTTCATTCCCTACTCACTGAGCACCCACCACGTGAGGGCCCACAGAGAGCCAGACACAGTTCCTGCTCCCCAGAGGCTCCCAGCCTGGCGGATGGACAGACGTACAAATGGATGATGACGAGGGTGGCTGGGAAGGGGACAGGGCAGGGGCGGAGGACCACAGGCAGATGTACGAGCCCAGAGGAAGGCGTACGGAGTCCAAGGTGCCGGACTACCAACCCAGTGCCCTTTCCTGCTCCGCCCCGCTGCTTCTGTCCATCCCAGGACTCTGGTTCCTGTGACCCCAGGCATCCCTGCTCTTGGACTCTTTGCCTGGCTGGAGGCTCATTATTGCACCTCCAGAGGCCTGGGGCTTGGGGAGAGGCAGTCTCCGGCCCATAAGCCCTGTGGGGGTCACTGGCTGGCTCCAACAAGCTCCCACCTCCCCCTTTTTCTTTGGCACAAAGAGTAATCTTTGCACACTCCCCTTTTTTGGCTGCCAACGCCTGCCCTCCGCCAGCCTTGCAGTGACCACAATGTACTTCCCCACGTCGCGCCTCCACTCCTGGTGTCAAAACCAACCCCAGGATCTTCCCTGCACCCGTGACTGCAGCTCAGCCTGCGAGGTCCCAGCATGGCCCGTGGGCCTGGCCTGGGGGAGCCCGCCTCCAGGCCCTCCCCCTCCAGCAGAGAGCCCCGCTGACTCTCAGGGTACGGGGGGGGGGAAGCTGCTCCTCCCTCTCCTCCCGCGGTGCGGGGCACACGGTAAGCGCCCAAGCAGTAGGGTTCCCGCAGTGTCCGCACAAGTGACAGAACCTTCCCATTCCTCCCCAGGGCCACCGCCCTGTCCTCTTCCTACCCCCGCTGGCTGGATGAGGACACCGAGGGCCGTACAGGGTATGTGTGTGTGTGTGTGGGAGGAGCGGGGAGAACTGTCTGAGCCCCAGCAGTGGAAGTGGGGGGGGGCACAAGTCTCCATCGGGGCCTCCGGGGCCTCCTTGCACCCCGGGCCCCGGGGCTCCCACTCACACGCATGAGCCCTCCAGCTTGCCGTAGAGCCAACCGTTCTGGGCCTCGGGCACCAGCACCTCCACGACGTCCCCGGCCGAGAAGCGCAGCAGCGTGTGGTTGGCGCCCTCCGAGTGCGAGACGAGGGCGCGGACTCTCCGGGCGCCCCCGCCGCCCCCGCCGCCCGGCCGCTCGCCGAAGGAGTTGGAGCGCGAGCGCGGGCTGCCGCTGGCGTAGAGCGAGGCTGCGGGGCCGGGAGAGGGCGGCGGCGCGTGGGTGCGCGGTTCACCCCGACGGCTGCCGCGACCCCCCGCTGCAGCGCCCCCTCAGGGCCTCTTCCCGGGCCCCCGGGCCCCCCGGGGCCTCCCTCTGCACTCACAGGCGGACGGTGTCCGGGGCAGCGACCGGCGGTCTGGCTCCAGCTGCGACGGGGACCTCGCCTCGCCGGGCTCGGAGCCGTGCCGGCTGCGGGGGTCGCTGAACTCCGCCAGGGGCCTCTGGGGCTGCGAGGGGAGACGGGCAGG